AGGTTTTTATTACTTTAAAAATTCGATTGTTTAATTAGTGCAGATCATCTGATTGGTGCATATTGTCGATCTTTCATCAGTGATGATGGTGATTAGTTGAATATTTGATATTTGAGATCGTGCAAGCACTATGTTTAATTAAAGTAATCTTTATAGCAATTTTGCGATTTATGGTGCGAAATGCGGATATTAATTTTAGCCAATCAGTACAACTCTAGGATAAAAAAGATGAACTCGGACATCTTTTTATCATTGTGGTGACGGACTCACTTGACCGGCTGAACTATTTTTTACTATATATATAGTTAAAATTGAACTCCGATCTATTAATTTAGGTATTTGAATGCACCCATAGTTATAACAATGGCTGTTCATTGATAGTGGTATGTAGTAGAATTATTGATATACATCTATAAATTTCTATAAATTTCCTAATGTGTAAAGTTTATACATAGCGAATACATTGAAAGATTACGTATTCGTTGCTATTAATTATTAGATAAAGCTACACACAGAAAATGAAAATTATGTGACAAAGTCTATTCTATGTATGTATGTATGTATGTATATATATACAAATCGAATATGCAAAAAAAAATGTATGTATATATATACAAATTGATATGCAAAAAATGGATGAAAAAAAAGGGGTATAAATGCAAGGATAATGCAAGGTGAAAAAAATATGCATGAATGCAAAGTGAAATGGGTAAAACTGTACAAGTTGTAAAGGAATGTAAAATGTTCTTGTGATTATATAAATAAGATATTTGTTGGTATGTAAAGAAAGGAGTGTAGTTCAGTAGTTGGTTAATTATCAGGCGAATGCCTGTCATGACGCAGATCTAAAATGTGTATTAATTGGTTAACATCAGCAAGTTGTTAGGTAAGAATTCACCACTTTTATACTGTATGTATGGATGATTTTAATGACAAGCAAGACAAGTAGTTAACTTGGGGAAAATGTATAATGGCGGAAGGACGTTTCGACATTGTTTGCTGCTACAATATTTGAATATACATAAAGAAAGACAGAAATCATAAGCAATCTTTATTAAATATTAATTTTTTCACAAATTTCATATAATAATCCTTAAAACTATTTTAAACGTTGTTTTCAACGTTAATTTTTCTATGAATAATGCAAATCATCAAGACGTTGCTAATATTCATTTTTTTTTAAAAAATATACATTGTTTTTTTTCAAAGCATGATTTATAAAATCTTGAATGTTTTTTTTAAAATCAAAACTTATGCACTTAGCAAGGCAAAAATCCCATTCCCAATATTCAGCCTCTCGCCGCATATGTTGCCAACAATATTTCCACTAACTTTATTAGCCCAATCTCTAAATGTTTTATTATTATTGCGAGCACTCACATACCTAACTTCAAAATGATTTCCAAATCTTGCTTTTGTCACAGGTCCGACCATCTCTTCCTCCAAGTCCGTACATTGAAATACTTCAAGAAGTTCGATATTTCGGCATTCTGCTATGCTATACCATGGATCACAACCCTTAAAGTTTACTTTGTCGAATCTTATATAACGTAGTGTAGATGAATGTAGTCTAAGTGGTGGAATAAATACACGAGTATAAATTGGCTATATCTATTTTAAATTTCATGTGATATTATTAAAGTCAACTTGGAATCGACTTTAAACAACTT